CTCCCTCTATAGACGATTCTGATTCAGCTGGGAGCGGGGAGTGAAGGGACTGACCATAACTCCGCTGGGCCAGATCGCCTCATTGAAGAGCTCGTTGAAGCGATAGTCCGGAATGGAGATCTTGAACTTGCAGTACGATAGCTGCGAAAGATTGGCATCGTTCTTGACCAGTTTGGTGCACTTGACCAGGTTCTTGTTGATCTTCAGCTCCTCGGCCAGGTGGTCGATGACATCCTCCTCGCTGGTGTTCGTGGCGAATTTCCCCACCTGCACCCAGCGGCCGTAGTCGCAGACGACCTGCAATCGATCCGAATTGCAGTTGTTGCCGACCACGATTAGGTTGTTCTGCTGCGGATGCTTCTTGGTGGTGTCCAGAGCGCTGGCCTGCTGCATGGGTGGCTGGTTGCCGAACTGGAAGTACTGCTGGTACATCCGGCCCTGGATCTGGTTGATGCCATTGCACACCTTGTTCACCTTCTCCTCGATGGTGTGCAGCTTCGACGAGAGCGCCCGTGGCGATTGATTTTTGCACTCGTCGCAGTTGAACGAAACCATCGGGTTCTTCTGGATGACATCGTACACGGCGTCGTCGATGTTCACGCACGTGCGATGGAACTTCTTTCGGCAGTCGTCCGAGTTGCAGATTATGAACCCGGCCTCCTTCCCGTTGATTGATTTCTTGCACTTGGGGCAGTTTTCGGCCATTGCGATGATGCGGTTTTCGTTTCCTTTGCGACTTCGGTTCTGGTTCTGGCTCTGGTTCTGGTTCTGTGCAATCTCAATCTCGGGGACTGACGTGACGTGGTATGCCAGACGCAGACGGGGGAAGGGAGAATGTCGAGAAAACACACACACACAAGCAGCAGGCTGGCAGGCTGGCAGGCAGGCGCAGCGCACGGAAGCGAGACAGCAACAGCGGCAATTTACAGTTAGTTATACACACAACAGCTATACGCCAACAGCCATCAGCAGGGAAAACAACAAAAACAACAAGAACACTGCGAAATATAGTTTGAGCGAAAGTCCGAGGTTGGTTTTCTTTTCTGCCTCTGTCTGGCTCTGACTCTGGCTCTGGCTCTGGCTCTTTCTCTTTCTGACCGCTGCACTGACTGACTGGCGACTGGCAATCGGGGCAATCAGTGACAGTGAGTGTGGTGTGTGTGTGTGTGTGAGAAGATTGCTGAAATCGAGAGGGGAAGAGAGAAACGCGACCGACAAAAGAACTCGAGAACCGTACGCTCCGAAGTTTGCAGAATGACTGGACAGAATACAGAATCGACTTGGCCGGAGCAGAACGAACTAGTAATCAGCCACCAGCAAAAAGCAACCAACAACCCCCATGAAAGCTGCCTGTTCGGTGACTAGCCAGCCAGGGTATGGCTGCTCTCCGAGAAGCGAAATATTGGCAAACAGACTGGCGGGCGCCTGCGAAGAGAGCGCTAGGACCGCCTTACCTTCAACATGGATACCCTGGCCTGGCTGGCCAACGTGTCTTGGGGTGGCTTTTAACCGCTATTTTCGCCATATGATTGCCATCGCTGGCGACGAGTTTGTTGCGCTCTCTCTCGGTTGCAGGGAAAATAAAAACAATGCATTTCGTGTGCAAAATGCGCCATGGCAACCCTGTTCGTAATTCGATTAGGGCTGCTCTGCACGGCGCCTCGTCCCGGGGAGTATTCAGTGTTGATAAGTTTTGTGATCTCAATTATTTTCGAACTTCCAGCAGAGTTTTCAACGGGTTTAAGCTTATAAACAGGAAAATGTTACCTACCTTGGAATCTCAGTTGTATTATATGGAGGAGATCCTTTCTGTAGAATTATCAGTTAAGGTGGCACATCCAAGTCCTGTCATGTGATCTTTAAATGGGCTTTCCTTCGAAAATGACAATCTTCCGCTTGAATTTTTAATTTAAGTAAAGGCACTCCTACTCCTACTCCTTCGTCTACTCCTTCTTCCACGCCTTGCAACAGTTGGCAGCCGCAACGGAAACACTCTCGCTTCACGCCAAAGAGCAACTGGGAAAAGGGACACACGGAGGCAACGCGGTCCACCAACTGAGGCTGTGCGCAAAGGTTGCCCCTTATTTATACACGGACAGAGATACGGCCGTGTATCCCTCACAGTGCAGCCGGAGATGGGGATGATGGTCGTGTGGGTAGGGGTGTGGGTGTGGGTGGCAGTGGGGGTGTTTGCGCATGTCCTTGCCAGGAAATGGCAACGAAGTTAATAATAATAAACAAGTAGAACCGCCTCTGTCGTGTGCCTCGACTGGCAGATACCCAGGGAAGCGCCATAACAATACGACTAATTTGATAATTTCCCTATGGTTTATTTATTTTAGTTAGTTCTAGAATATATCTACCCGCATCTTACTGGGTATCAACGAATCGCCGGAAAAGGGCAAACAACGTTTACAGGTGCGAGCCCCAGCAGCTGGGCCTTCGACTTGACGACTCTCTGCAGCTGTTATTGTTTGCCATCCGCCTCCAGGATTTGGCCAACGGCCCCCGTCAGTAATTGGGTTTCATTAAGTGGGAGGTCGCGGCACGAAGCACGGCAACGGCAACGGGACCGGCACGGCCGGCAAGGTGCTCAACACTTCTGCTCCTTCCTTTGTGGGGGGCCCTTGTTAGTGCTGCTCCAATTTTGTCGTCGACTGCATTGTCAATAGATTTTAATCAGGTGTGGCAAGCATAATAAACAGGCGCCTCGGCCTCAGTCTCCTCCTTGCCTTGCCTCCCCCCATCCATATCCGTATCCCCATCCCCATCCCCCTTTGTGGCTGATTTAAATCTATGCGTCGCACCTCAGACTCGGGTTTATTTCCATTATCCATAATTTCTGGCTGGCTCCGGCTCCGGCACCGGCTCTGTCTTTGCCCCAATTGTTATTTATGTATGCATCCACGTGTGCCCGAGTACCGAGACGTAGCGTATCCCTTTTCTATTCTAGTGTCAAGTGCGCATTTTGGCTGCCATCCCGGCGCTCAAAAATATGCTATACTTTTCGCCGAATTCTATTTTTAACCTGTCTATTCGTGTACAAGATAAAGCATATCTTAATCTTTAAGGTTACGCAGATCCTAATAGCCCTACCTCTTGTATGAAAGCCTCGCTCTTGGAGCTTACGAGACTTAGTCGTAGATATCAGATCTACTAAACAGATACAGATCTATCTATCTATCAAAGATTCGTCTCTCACAGATTACCTGAATCTTGAGGGTTCTTAAGAATCCTCAATCTTGTTTGTCAGACTTTTGCAACATCAATTTAAAAGACAGTTTTGCTTGTTTTTATTTATTTATTTAAATAATTATGTATTTTCGGGGTGCAATTAATCATTAAATTAATTAGTAATATTATTGTTTATATACGGTTCATATATATATTTACTCTCATTTTCCATCTGTGGTTTGTGGGGGGTTTTTTCTTTTCCATTTGTTTGTATGTTCCGCATTGTCTCTCTCTGTCCATCTCACATTCTGATTGCTCTGTTGTGCCTCTCCATTGGGAGTACGGCCATATGCCCGAAACTCCGGCTTTTTCTCTCCTTTCATTTTGAATACTTCTTTCTGTCTGTCTGTCTGTCTGTCTGTCCATCTGTGATCGTGTGTATGTGTGTGTGTGTATACATTTTGTTTTCGGGTTAAAATCCAAACAAAAACCGAAACGCTTTCTAAACATTTTTCATTGATTATTATATTGATTCCGTAGTTGGTAATGGTTATATGCATGTGAAAGGTGTGTGTGTGTGTGTGGGTGTGTGTGTTTTGGTGATATTGTAGTAGTAATGGACATTGAACGAGATTTGATTAAGCTTTAAGGGCGACATATTGTACACGCTACGAATATTGCTAAAAATACCTGCACTTTGGGTCTTAGATTTCGGTTCTCCCCGTTTTTCATTATCATTTTCATTTTCATATTCATTTGTTTTCCTGTTTTTGTTTTTGTTGTTGTCTTCGTTTTCGTTTTAGTTTTTGTTTTAAGTAGTTTCGATTTTGTTTGTGCCTTATTTTGTTAGTAGGCAAAGCACTTTGGGCAGGCGCTTCTTGAATCAATTAGTTAATACATTAATTGTTAATATACGTTCGTATTTTTAGAACAAGGTAAGTACAATATGTGCTAAGAGTGTTGTCTCAAAGTTGGTTACTACTCGATCGGAATGGGTCTGAGGTGGAGGTGGAGGTTTGGGGTTCGTGGTTCGGGGTTCGGGGTGGCGTGGACTGGAGTGGAGTGGAGTGTGTGAGATCTAAATATCATATCGTTACACGTTACACATACATATATGAATGCCTATACATATAGTAGGCCCTATGTATCCGCTTTCGTTTATTACTTATAACATTGAAATATACATACATATGCTTCTGTCTGTCTTCTTCTGTTTCTGCTTCTTCTGTCAAATAAAACTGGTCATAACCAACATATTGTGTGTCTAGCGCTTAATTTAATCGTTGAACTGTCTGGTTTCATCTTTCAACCGAATCGGATCCTTCTCGATCCTCGATCCACGATCCTCGATCTTGTGTCTTTATTTCAAACACAACAATAATGATTGCACAATAATTCAGACAACATATAACTGCAAACTAATTCTCATTCTTTGGTTTTTGGTTTTCTTTTGTATATTTTCACTAGTATCCTCCATCATCCTTATCCTTTTCTTTTCTTTTCCTTTCCTTTCCATTCTCTTTGTTTCTCTTCTTCTTCTCTTTGGTTTCTGTTCATTCCGCTACTACATTTAGCTCCTCAATATTCTTGGTTGCACATAAAGTTTTACGAATACAATACATTAATCAATTGCTCGATTTTGCTGTTGTTGTTGTTGTTCTTTTTCTTTTTTGGTTTTTTTTTTTGGATTATACACTTCAAATATTTATATTTTGCGTAACTTTTACTTAGGAACAAAAGCTTTGATTTGGTTTCGTTCTCGGGAGTGTCTTCTTTGCTTTGGGCTTTGTTCCGAAAAACTGTTCGAAATCGATACTAGTAGATTTGCTAAGGAAACTGAGTTCAAAGAGTTGCTATTATCGGGAGCGACCAGGCCCGGTCCTCGCGCTGGCCTCGCACCGGCCCAGCCCCGAGATACATACATACATGTTAAGTACAATATAGTCGTAGTTATATAGCATAGTTTACTAGTTGTTTTGTTAGATTTACTCGTAAATATTCAAGTACCCATATATATTTATATATTTATATTTATCTTTATATATACCTTTTTATGCATGAAATAATGTAACCATAAACAAATTAGCAACAACTTCATTTTGTCCGGAGCGTTCTTTAGATTTAGATTTAGTGTTAATATTATGACTGCATTTACTCAAAGCCGTCATGTTCGTCGTCTTTTAAGTGGGAAAACATATTATTTTATTGACTTCTTTGCAATTCTCGAGATTTTTCTAGTATAACTGAGTTTTCCCTTGGGGGGGGAGTTTTTGTTTTGTCGGTTCTTGGGTTTTGCAGATTATATTTTTGTTTGTTTTTGTGTGTAATCAAGAAACGTTCTTTGCTTGGCTTTACAGGTAAATGCCGTCCAGAATTACTTATGCGCCGCCATGCTCCGGATAGGCCCCGGCCCCGGCTCCGGTGCCGGCTCCTCCATCGACCAGCGCCGACTGTCCTCCGGCGGCGGCTGGCTGCTGCTGCTGTGGCGGCGGTGGCGGCATGTACTGTGGATACTGAGGGTACTGCGGTGGCTGCTCTCCGCCTATGAGTCCCAGCTTATCTGTGGACGGGTCGGGGCAACAGAAGGAGAGAACGAGAGAGCGAGAGTTAGTCAAATGTGGCCCGAACAGGTGGGTAGTGATTGAGATTGAATCTCAATGGAGTGACAATTACACCGATACACGGATATACGCCAAAACATATTACACTTCAATGGTTAAAAGCTCAGTTATGAATATCAGGGAACATCGGGGAGTAGTAGCATATGGATATGGGGATGGAGGGGCAAATGCAACGCCCACGAGGGTACATCATTATCGTATGTATGTACATTCAAAGACAATCCCCCGCAGGACAGGACTCTTGGCTGTATCCCCTAGCCTCCGCTTAGACTTTTGTGCACAAAAAATACGGGTACATATGTACAGGGGTGTGTACATATGCGGTTAACAGAATATCTTTATCAACAACATCGAAAAAGAATACCAAACCGAAATTATACAACCATAAGGATAAGGATACTAAGCACACGTAGTAGACATCGAAACACATCGCACAAACATGCAGCTAAAATTATAAGTAAACGTTAACGGGGGGCAACGGTAACGCTAACGCTAACGGTAACAGAAGGCAGCGTAACAGGACAGCGGAAACGGAACGGAAACGGAACGGAAACGGGTGTAAGTAGAAGAAGAAGAAGCGCACAGCACAGGTTAATGTTGCTTTTGCGTTTGTTGTTTGCTTACAGTGTTCGAAAAGATCGTTTTTGTTTCAATGTTCAATGTTACAAAGAAGGTGGTGTGAAATGGTTAATTTTTGTTTTGTTTTCTTTTTCTTTTCGGCTAATTTTGATTATGGTTTCTATTGATGTAGTTATTGGTTAATCGATGGGTTGATTAATTGATTGGTTGATTAGTTTGCTGTAGTTGTTGCTGTATATATATATATATTTTTTCTTTTTTTTGGTTTGGTTTGTTTTTGAGAGATCGTCCTATTGTCCAGTCGCCACTTCATCCGACGGACTCTGTGGATTGTCGGTCAATTTCTCAGCCAATGGTTTCTCGAGTGTTGGTGGTTCAGATTTTTGTGTATGGTGTTGTTGTTGTTGTAGTTGTTGTAGTTGTGGTAGTGCTGATTCTGGTGCAGATGCTGGTGCGGATGCTGGTGCCGGTACCACCTGCTGCTGCAAAGCAGGAGGTGGCGGAGCAGCAGCATCATCCGACATGTACGGTTCTACGAGAAATTTTTGTTCGTGAATTGCATTTGTTTTTTGTTTTTCTATTTTCTATTTCGAAACAAGCGATATTAGTTGACAAAATTGAATCAAATCAAAACAAAAAATCTCTCAGTTTTTATGAAACGGAGAAATGAACCAAACAAAAGAGACAGTGTGAGAGAGAGAGAGAGAGAGAGATATTTTGGGTGCACCTAGCAATAAGATTTGCGGATGAGTAACGGAAAGAGTTTTGCTGTTGTTTTTACCTCACAAATAATATGTTTTTTTTTTTGGGGAAAAACTGTATTGAATAACTGTATTTCTTATGGTTAAAAAAATTGTACAAAGCTAATGCTTTCAGTGTATTACTCTTTCTCGTCTTTCTCTGTAATTGTTCCAAAAAATATTGTGTATCAGTGGCATCGTATGTATATGTACGTATATCAGGTGTCCATTGTGTGTGTGTGTGTGTGTGTGTGGGTGTGGAAATCAGAGAAAATATTTGTAAATCATATTAAGAACTCATAAAAGATTTGCAGTGCTTTAGGCAGCTGCTGTGGTACAGGTGGTACAGTGGGTACAGTTGGTGGTACAGTGAGCACAGCTACAAGTACAAGTGGATTTTCACTGTTCGGCTTGACGGCCTTTGCGTTTTCTTTGAGTCTTGGAGAGCGAGCTACGTTTACTTGTGGATACGAGTATTTTTTACACTGGACAATGGCACATTTTGTGTATCTGCTGAAGAGTTGTGGAGCGCCAATATCCGAACAAAACAAAACGAAACGAAGTACGGAACAAACCACAGATAATTACGGCTTACGGGTTATACGCTAGCTAGTCGAAACAGAGAACTTAGGGTTCTTAAGGATAACGCTAACGGGTACACACACGAATATCGGATCAGCCATCGGCCATCGGCCATCGGCCATCACCCATGTCCTGCCTCTTTCGGGGCAACGCACAGGGACCGGCGATACCGATATCCATGGCGAGCACAAAACTATTACAGGAAAGGAAAGAAATATAAACGAGAACAACGTATGACACGACTTTCAGTTGGCATCAAATCAAATCATTATCATTACCGAACCTGCGTATGGTGCGTATGGTGGTCGCATGGAACCAGATGATGTTGGACTTTGGATATACACACAGATCGGATACATACATATACATATACATATATGGCATATACTGTATATAAGTAGTTACTGTTTTAGTGGTTGTCGAAGCACATGATATGGATGCAATTGACTGATCGATCGATCGGTTTTTGGTTTTTATTTTTGGTTTTTTTTTTGGTGGAAATTTCGCAAGGCATCAAATTCGAATCGGTTTAGCGAGCGATCAGATCATCAAACGTACAACAGTTGGACTGTGAGTTTTAGCTCTACTCATGGCAGTTTTTAGATGGGATTGAATTTGATATCGGTTTTGATTTCGATTTCGATTTCGGATCTTATTGGGTTGCTTGATTGATTGATTGATTAATTGATTGCTTTTGATATGCGTTTGCATTTGCATTGCGGATGATGCATTGCTGCTAAGTTACTAGTTTCTTATGGATTAGCAATGGATAGCTAGCAATCTACATAAAATTACCTAGAGAAAAAAAGAGTTGGCGGAATTAAAGAACCAATTCAAAATCAAATTTAGTCTCTGTGTGCGTAAATCGAAATAAACGTAATTTAGGCTAAAGAAATCAGCGCTAAACAAGAATAAACCAAACAATAGAAAGTGGATGTATATTTGGTTCCGTGTTGAGTGGGTGTCGGGTGTCGGGTGTTGGGTGTCGGGTGTCGGGTGGCTTTGTATGTATCTCTAGGGGATGTGTGTGTCCCATGTTGTGAGTAAGAAGAACAGCCTGATCTAGGGATTTCCGCACGATTAACTTACTTGCAATGATTCCCACGACAACCAGGCCAATCACGCCCATTATGATCATCATCTGCAAGTGGAACCGAACAATGGGTTAGTGCTAGTTACTTCTCTACCGACGCCGCCACACAGACCTTCAAGTTCTGGAGCCAGAATTTCCTCTTGAGCTTGCCCGCCTGCTGCTCGAACTGCGAGGCGCCCTGCTGCAAGGCATCGGCGCGATCGTCCAACTCCGACAGCTTGCTATCGCGCTCCAGCACCTTCTCGACGTTTGTGCGCATAATGTCGACGACCTAAAGGGCGGGACAGAAGAACAGAAGCAGAAACAGAAGCAGAAGCTCTCCTTGTAAAGGTTCTTCATTAAATCGCGAAATTGTATTCCACTCACCTCATCGACCTGCGCCTGCGTCTGCTGGAGACGCTTCTGTGCCGCAATCTGCTGCGGATTGTGTGGTCCGCCCACAATCTCGCCATCGCCTCCCTCGCCTGCTGGAGGTCCAGCAGGTGGTGCATCGCCAGCTGGTGCAGCGTCCGCCCTGCAGGGAACAATCATTAGTCATGCAACGAGCTCATAAGGAGGGCAAATACCAAGACTAATCAACTCCCAACGGGGCGCTCAAATTAAATACAGGACTTGGATTACACAAAGTATGGGAGGTAGGGGTTTCGTTATGACTATGGGTCTACGGTTTCTATCGTTCTAGCGTTCTAGCGATTCTTTAAAATATCTCGACGGTACGTGTGTGTGTGTGCTATACACAGAGAGTGCTGGAGAAAATCTAGCCGGCTAATCGAAGAGTGCAGAGATTAGCACTTACAGTTCCTTGTTCTTGTCTTTCTTGCCCATCGCAGAGACCCTTAAAACTTAGAACTCTACCGCGGTCTCTGGGTTCTGTTGACGGCCAAAGTTAAGGAAATAGTTAAATATTCAGTTGTGGAATGTTATGGAAATGAATCCCATGGAATGCTACGTTACAGGTGAGTATTGATAATGTTCGTAGTGCGAAGGAAATTAAATCGATCGGGCGGAACACCCGGCATTATTTGCGTTCCCTTTTGGACAATTCATTTACTTTGCATGGCCTGACTCACGGCTCAGGCGAAACGTAGTCAAAATTATTGATTTTACGGCGTGTGAATGCCATGCCATGTGATGCGGCAGCGTCATCACCAACGCCATCGCCACTGCCGGACCAGAGGAGGACTCTCTCTCTCTCTCGGCCATTGTAAGTGAATCATGGGAGCTGCAGCTGCTGTTGCTGGAGCCACTTCGGGTGCGGTGCCCCAATCGAAATGGACTATTTGGACAAATGAAATGCTGGGCCCATGCTGCGTATGCTTAATGTGTGGGCATTAAATGAGCATTACCCCAGTGCGAAAAACGAGAAACGAGTACGAGAAGGACCCCCCAAAACCCCAGACAAATCAATAATGTCCATTCACTTACATTTCTATTGTTTTGTTGTTGTTTTCGGTGTTGTTGCAGCCGCTGATGTATTAACAAAACTCGGTTTGCGGTGTCTGTGGCTGTAACTGCGACTGCGACTGCGACTGGTTCTGGTTCCCGTGTGAATAGGTATGCACTTGGCCAACGTCTTTCACTTTGGGAGCGTCGAGCGTCGAGGTCGGGGAGGGTCGTTTCGCGGGTGAGGTGACGGTAGTAGCAGCAGATGTGCTGATGGCGGCGGTGGTGGCGGGTGGTGGTGCGTTGGGTGCAGCAGAACTCTGCTTCGTTGTTTTTGTTGTCGAGGGTTGCGCTCTTTCTCTTGCTCACTCGCTCGCTCGCTCGCTGTCTCACGCTCTCTCTCTCTCTTTCGCCTGAGCTTTGTCGCCCCCAATCGTCAATGAATTTTCACTCCTCTCGGCTCGCCTCAGCGGTTGCGGGGGGATTGGCTAGATGTGTGTGTGTGTGTGTATGTCGAGTGTGTGGGTAACACTTGCCACGACAGCCTCAGAGGGATCTTCTGGCTCGGCGAAACTGAAACTGAACTGTTGGTGGGAAGAGTGTAAAAATAGTTGAAACTATTTTTAGACTTATATTTGGATTGAGAATTGAGTATTTTTACGAGTAAGAAGTCGAGTGGGGGCTTGCAACACGCCCAGTGGCCTGCCCACGGCTCTCTCTATGTGTGTGTGTGTTTGCGTGGGTGCACTTGGTGCACCTTTCTGTTGCATACCCCCTGGGGCAGTCTCGGGATATTTCTGCACACAAAAAAAATATATATTCGCGTGTGGACTCTACAAATCTTTGCAAGTTCGCAACTTGGCACTGGCCTGTCTTGGCTAGGGGAAAAAATCAATGAAATTCTACACGATAATGGTTTTGCTTTCATTCGAAAGGCCTTTTAGTCGCATTCTTTATGTTTTCGATTACGAATTCTATAACATTGTGTGGTAAGCACTTTTACTTTGTCCTGGCAGCGCAAGTTTACAACAAATTGTTCCTTAATTATTTAACTAAAAATTATTTTACGTAGCACAGGAAAATTTTCACTTACGACGTTTTTAGCCAACTGCGAAAACTCACAGCTTTCCTTTCCTAACTGTTATGTTATGTGTATGCTTCTGCAAAGTTAACAGAGCCGAAAGCTTTTCTGCAAAATTAACGAGCCAAAAAGTTATCCTGGACATTCTACTTGACATGTAGCTGCCGATTTTAACATTCATGCGTCAAGTCGATGAAAAGAAAAAGGAAATCGATTACAGCTCAACGATTAACGAAAGCTAAGAAGTCGGAACCAGAGGTTTTTTGAACTTTGCCTGTATCCAAACGCGATACATCTTCAGGCCGCGACTCCGATTCACCTGCAGCCTTCGGTCCACAATCACCTGTTCCTCCTGGAGCCCCGCCTTAGTGAACATACCACGTAGCTCTTCCTCTGTAAAGAAATACACCAGGGTGCCATCGCCGCGCACATAGAAGTTGTCCTCCAAGCATTTTCCGCTCTTGAAGCGCAGCTGGGCCAAGTCGTAGCGGCCGTAGTCCCTGAAGAGGAGCAAGCCACCGGGTCGCAGGTAGCGATAGCAATTGTCCAGTATCTGCTGCATTTTTTTCGGCTGACAGGCGGACAGCACAAATATCATTACAATGATATCCTGCGAGTTCTCTTCGAAGGGAACCGGCCACTGCTCCTCCGTGGCATCCATTACGAATACCTCGCAGCGTTTCTCATCGAACTGCGGCTGGCTGCGAAGTATATCGATGGCCCTGGCAGAAAAGTCACAGCCAAAGACTTTTAGCTTTGGCTCTACGCTGTACTGGAGCAAGGGTAAGATGGTGTTGCCGACGCCACAGCCCAGCTCAAAGATGCTCCGTGACTGCTGCTCACTGACATCAAGGGGCGCTAGCTCGGGAAACTCGGTGAACAGCCAGTGACGGTCCTTGAAGAAGCGATTGTCGTGTATGCCATAGAAAGAGTCCCAAAACTTCGGTGCATCCGACTGAAATCGCTCCCGCTCATCGTCGTTCAGCTTGCTGCACGAGTTCTTTGCCACGGCCGCCTGTGCGGCCAGCTCCTGCTCCTCATCCCATTGCACGTGGTCCCTGCAGAGCACATTTTAGATCGCATTTTAGAGTTTTTGTGCCAACAATGTGTACCATGCATTAAACTCGAACACCTCGCGCACGTCGGTTAGTATGCGCCCGCCAGCACCCGCTGGCTTCTTGCGCTCTCGAGTGTGCTCCCAAGTTTTGCTGGCAAAACGCCGCAGACCTTGCCACGCATATTTACCAAGCATTGTGCTTAAAGACGTCGTCGCTGTCCTTGAGTAAACGTGTGCCGAACTGAGGTCGCTTCTCACAGTCATCGGCCGTGGGAGTACCGCTCATGTTATGCAGTGGATGGAAGGATAATCCAAATCAAATACCAACTATAAGGAAATGAAAACAAGCAACAACCGCGTTGTCTGTCATGTTGAGAACCGTTAACCCATTGCAGCCCAAGGGGGTTTTTCAATATTCCACCGAAAATAATGAAAATTTAACCATTTTAGCGCAGTTCAGGTGAAAGATATAGTGGTTTTTGTAACTTTCGAGGAAGGATCTACAAGAAGAATTTACAATCGGCAATATTTTCCGCCATTTACCTCAAGCTGTTGAGCTGTTTAAATAGAGGGTGCTTAAGTGAGCTAAGTATGGTTATTCATCATACGAGACGCTGTATTGTTGTTGAGGAACCAAAATTGAGGCAAAAAATCAAAGTCTAGAATTTAAAATAAGCCACTCAGTTGAAAATAGATTCATTAATTGGATAAAATTATGTGGGCAGGGCTGAGAGATCTATATAGCTACGGAATATACAGGAGGAATATAGAAGTTGAATTCGTCAGTATATTTACGGTATATTTTTAAAATGAGACGGTAAATTCTGGTATATTTCTGAGGGTCAGACCGTACATTTTAAAGATAAGTCCGCGGTCACACTGCCCGCATCAGTTGGTATATCAAAACCGCAAACAAACCTTTTTGTTGTATTGTGTGTTGTTTTCTGCGCCCGCAGTGAAATAGATAAAGAATTAAGGCATTGTAGCGCCAAATTAATAGGAACCTGCGGATATTACGCGATTATCAGTGCGCTTTTAAGTGAACGCTAACACTACGCCATCAAAATGATGAACGAGGCAGCCCTGGCCAACATGATTCCGTACGACACAATTGGACTCTATGAGCAGCCGAAGCCCCGATTTATCTTCAAGATGCCACGCGTGGTGCCCGACCAGAAGTCCAAATTCGAGAGCGACGAGCTGTTCCGACGACTGAGCCGCGAGAGCGAGATCCGCTACACGGGCTACCGCGAGCGAAGTATCGAGGAGCGCCAGGTGCGCTTCATGAACGGCTGTCGCGAGGGACACACGGAGACCAGCTTTGTGGCCTCTGGCACAAACCTGCAGCTGGTGTTTAACGCCAACCAGAATCCCTATCTGCACGACAAGGAGTGCGACTTCGACAAGGAGCATGGAAAAGTGCACATCAAGTCGTACTTCATAATGAACGGCGTCTGTGTTCGCTTCCGGGGCTGGCTGGATCTGGAGCGTCTGGATGGCGTTGGCTGCCTGGAGTACGACGAACGCCGTGCCATGCACGAGGATGCCATTTTGCGCGACCAGATCGACCGCTACAACCAGCGGCTACGCGAATTTGAGGACACCAAGCGTGCCTATCGCGATAATCGGCAGGACGAGATGGAGGCCGTGCGCAGGGGCGTCGCCTCCGGCGGCATTGGTGTGGGCGCCAGCATGTGGCGACGTTAGTTGGACCTGTGGACGGCGCCAGCGCCGTCCCTCCAACACGACCACGAACAGCAGCAGCAGCAGCAAGAGACTCAATTTGCAAATACTCAATATTTTATGGACAACTGAAAATGCTCCTCCTTCTCCCGGATACGACTATGGGGATAGGCACGCTCGAATATCGAATATATATATACATACACCATATATATGCTCCTAGACTAGTTTTAGCCCTAATTCGCTTACCTTTACGTATCGTATGCTTCTATGGTATTAAACATTACTATTTAATGTGAAATTAGTGTCGTACATGTAGCTCTTAACTCTTAACTAAAAATACATCCACATAACTAATCAAGATTCGACTAATACTCGTAGTTCTGTGACGCAGCGCACGGATGTCGTGTCGTCTGGTGTGACGCATTCTGTTGATTAAGAAGAAAAACGAAAGACGTCTTTTGTTTTGAATACCATTATAATATACAATTAATGACACTTGATATATATTAATATGCGTGTATCGTGTAAAACTAGGCTAAGGATTATTAGAGGGATCTTATGTGGGTCTCGCTAGGCGTAGGGGAAAGCACAAATGAAGTGGCGAAAATAAGCTGAAGAGCCGCTCACTTTAGCGGAACTGCAGGTTGGAAATGCGCAGTCCGATGCAATCCTTGCCGATCTGGCTGACCTCGCACACGTTGCAGAGATTACCCTTGAATTGGGGATCGTACGAGCAGTTACAGAAGGGGCAGGTCACCTCCGGCTTTCCGCGATACAGCGGCTTCCAGCTGATGCCGCATATGTTGAATGGATTGAACTCTTCGTACTGCAGCTGGTGCTCGTCCACGGGATTTATTTCGCACGCCTGCAGGATCTTGCGCACCTGCTGGGCCACGTCCGGCCTGGGGGCCAGCTCGAGCAGGCGGCGCGCAAACGAAGCCGCCGTCCGATAGTTCTTCAGCTTGAAGAACATGTTGAGGGCGGTGCGAAGGGTGAGAATCTGATGCACCGGCTGTAGCTTGCAATGGGTGAAGTAGGCGGCCATCTCGCAGAGGCGCTTTTGCTCCTCGAGAGTCGATTTCGGCATCCCCTTACGCTCCGTTTCCATCTTGAGGCCCACAATGTACTCGGAGCAGATCTTCAACAGCTGCTGGGCCTCGGCCGTGTCAAGCTTGGTCTCCACCACAAGCAGCGGAATACTGATCAGAATGGAATGGAACTTCTCGATGGCCTCCGTGAACTTGCCGGATGTGGTCATCTGGTAGCCAGCCTGCAGGCGGGACACCAGGTCGTTCAGCTTGATACCCATGGCCGGACGCTGCAGTTTTGCATTCGTCTCGGAGAAGTTGCGCAGCGGGTAGCCGCTTAGCGATTGTAGATTGGGATTGGCCGTGTAGCTAGTGCGCGAGCAGGCGTAGTTCTGCAGAAAGAGGGTCTTGAAAGGCTTGAAGTTGACCACTCCCAGCTGATCGTTGAGCAGGCGGAAGGCACTCTCGAACGCGCCGGCCTTGACATGATCGAGAACGAGTGGCGAGTTGTTGGCCCATTGCTGTGATGGGGACAATCCCTTGTTGGGTGCCGCATAGTAGTTGCTGTCCAGGGCCGATGCCTTTATCTTGGATGCCAGCTCCTCGGGAACGACCAGATCGTCGTCGCCCACATCCCAGCCGGCCCCATCCTCTCCGCCAGCACCTCCTGGCAGCTCGTCACTGCTGAGGGCATCGTGCATCTCATCATCACCGTCATCGTCCAGTCCCAGATCGGCATCTGCACCCCAGCCATCTCCGCCACCGTTATGCTCCTCCAGCACTGCGGCGTCGGCATTAATGTTGAGTGCCTGGCGAGCAGTGGCGCTGTTGCCAGCCCGCGTCACCATGGCGCCTTCGAAGAAGCCCTTGGACACAGACAGGAGCGGCCAGTTGGTCTCCAGCTGCTGGATGGGCACAGGGGGCTTCAGCAGCGTGGCATTGGGGTTTACTTCAGGCAGAGTGTCGCCCTGCGAGGTGATGGTCTCAGCCAGCGATTCGGCGAGCTCATCCAGGCCATGGGTGGCTGCCGTCAGATAGGCCATCGAGGTCAGGCCGCAGTTCTTGAGAATGCTCACCCGCTCCTTGAAGTCGCCAAGGACCAGGGCACCCTGGTACTGGGCCGAGATATCCTTGCGGATCTCTGCGATCTTAATCATCTTCTTGAGCTTCTCCAGGTTGCCGGTGATCAGGTAGAGGAAGCTGAGCTTGTCGAAGTTCTTGGTGCGCTGGTAGCACATCTCAACCACCTGGTGGTTGCCCTGGAGAAGGGCACTCTGTCCCAAGCGATTCCAGCAATCCTTGTCGTCTAGGGCCTTGGCCGCCTCCAGGGCTATCTCAATGTTGCCGCACTCCAGCGCCAGGCCAAAGCGGGTCTTTTCGTCCTTCACAAAGTGCAGCGCCACCTCCGGATAGCCCTTCTGCTGCAGATAGGCAATGATGCTCTGTCCCACGAGGCGAGCGTTGCGCACCATGTGCAGGACCTCGTCGTATTTGCGCTGGATGAGCGCCAGCTTGAACTTGTATTCCGTGGGATCGATGGTCAGGACGCGGGTGCGGCACTCGCGATCGAGGCAGAACACCTGGTTGCCCTTGACACGCGTCAGATAGATGGGCAGGTCGAGGGTGCGAATGATGCCGTGATCTCCGTTGGTGATTGCATACTTGATGTGATTGCTCGTGGTGTAGATAAACACGCCGGACTCGTCCCAGGCCCCGGACTTGACGCGACAGTTCTCCTGCACGGTGCACAGATACTGCAGCCGGCGGTCGCAGATGGTGACCGAGTGCTTGCAGAGCAGGGCCACCAGCGACATGTCTGGCGACCAGACCACGTAGCGGCACTTGGCCAGCTTGATGCTGCCCACGGACACGAGGCGCTGCACTTCGTAGAGGGTGACAAACTCGGGATCCCGGATGAGCAGCATGCCCGTGCCGGCGTAGAAGATCTCCTCGCAGAAGGTGGGTATCTTCTTGGTGACCTCGTTCTTGAAGTTCTTGATCACCAGCTGCTGGTTGCGATCCAGCACCGCAAAGCGGTTGCGAGCCACCCAAATGGCCGTGATGCCCGAGCTGCGCTTGCTGTCGGACTCGTTCTGGCTCTCGGTGTCCTTGGGTATCTGGCACAGGTCGTAGGTGCTGTTCTCCAGGTTATTGGTGCGCGTGCAGATGAGCACGGCGTTCAAGGCCGGGTTGTACGACATACTGTACACGGGCGACTTGCCCGGCCGCAGCTGCATCACCACAGCGTCCTTGGTGGTGGTAAAGTCCAGTTTCCGCAGGTAGCGGTCTTTCACGTAGTAAAGCATGTTGCCATGCACAGCATAGGCGGGACGCTCACGCTCCAGCTTGAAGACAACCATGCCTGAAGGGACATAATCTTAGTTTATAGAAGAAGACAAAGCAATTATCAACGGGATCTTACCGCCATCGTGACCGGCTGCAAAGAGATTGAGTGTGGGATGAGCTGTCAGAATCCAGAAGCGCTCGTTGTCCCGCCGGAATGTGAAGAGACACTGACGCTTGGTCATGTCCCAGACGCGAATGCTGCGATCCTCGCCGTTCGAGATGATTAAATCTTGGCGGGGATGGAACAGAACGCTGGACACGTTGTTGTAGTGGCCACGGCACGTGTCCACCTCCCAAGCCTTGTATTCGTTCATGCGCCACAGCTTCACCAGACGGTCGTCTGCGCCCGACACAATCAGCGGCAGAGTGGGATGGAAACTGGCCCAATTGACGCCGCGATCGTGTCCCTCGAGCACATGCTTAACTACGGCATCGGCCTGGCCGAACAGATCGGTGGCTCCAGGGTTACCCTTCAGATGATCATCCAAGCCCCCTGGACCGGGGGCCACATTCTTCTTGCGCAATCCCGAAATGTCCCAGACGCGCACCGTCTGATCCAGTGAGGCGGAGACAATCTGATCCTCCGTGGGATGGAACTGGGCACACATCACATAGTGGTTGTGGCCGGTCAGCACGCAGATGCAGTTGCGCGACTGCCAATTCCAGATGCGAATGGTCTGATCATCGGAAGCGCTCAAGATCCAGGGGTATTCATGGTGGAAAGCCACAGTGCGCACGTAGTCCAAATGCGCCAGCAGAGTGAAAATGCAGCGACGCTGCTTGTAGTTCCACACCTTGATCTTGTAGTCGTCGCCGCCGGAGACAAAGAGGGGCATCTGCTGATGAAATGCCACGCCGCGTACAGGGCCATCGTGCTCGTCGAACTTCTCCAGGAGCGTGTGCATGCGGTAGTCCCATAGCTGGATGACACCGCTGTGCAAACTGGTCAGAATCCAGGGGCGTTTGGGGTGAAAGGAGAGGCCCTTCACTCGAGCCGACTTTGACTCAAAATTCTTCAACATGTTGGCAGTTTTTACTGTGACAGAGATACTTGTTCTTGTTTTCGATTTTGCTGCCTGGCGTTGTTCCGTGTCGGCTTACGTTTCACGTATGTACCCGCTTGAAGTAAGTTCGGGCACTTTCCTGTATAAAAATATGTAAGTATTAGCGCATCTGTCCCAACATTAAACCATTTATGCACCACGTAGGCCCTGCCCAATAATAATTTTGAGAAAAACACCAACCAATTGTACAAATTGTGACACGTCAATTATCTTCTTCTTGAATAGGCAAGCAGAGTTGCAATTCCATTCGAATCGAACAGCTGTTCACAGCATCGCTTGACAACACTGACAGTTCAGCCGTTTTTATATTTTGATCCCCTTTGACATAACAAATAACTGGCAACATGAGAAATATCAAGAATATAACGTGTAAGGTTCTTCAGCAGAAGTACCTATACCAGCCACGGCTTGCCACATTATATTACAGCACAGCAAAGAGTAAGCAGAGGTCATTTTCATTGAATAATGCGCCACCGGCTGAAGGTGTCCCATTCGTTCCATTGCAGATGCCGACACAAAAGTGCATTTGGCGGCGGGCTACCAGCCCAAAGAGGTCGAAGAGGCCTATTGGGAGCGTGACAAGGAGGAGGCGAATCTGCCCCAGGAAGGCAATAGCTGCAACCGTGGACCCTACCGTATGCTGCTACCACCGCCAAATGTGACGGGGAATCTGCACCTGGGCCACGCTCTGATGGCCACCGTGCAGGATGTGATAGCGCGCCAGCAGCGTCAGCTTGGCTACGAGGTGGATTGGGTGCCGGGCACCGACCATGCCGGCATAGCCACACAGGTGGTGGTGGAACGCACACTGACAACTGCCCAGGGAAAGACGCGCCATGATATCGGACGAGAGGCCTTTCTGGAGGAGGTGTGGAGGTGGAAGGCGGCCAAGGGTGCTGGGATCGTGCAGGACCTGCGCCTGTTGGGCTGCAACCTTAACTGGTCGCGCGAGTACTTCACCATGGACGAACAGCAGGCACATGCCGTCAATGTGGCCTTCGAGCGACTCTTCGATGAAGGGCTCATCAGGCGGCGCAATTCGCTGGTCAATTGGTCCACCACACTGCAATCGGCCATCTCGGACATCGAGGTCGAAGTGATGGATATTAAGGAGCCCACCGATATTCGGGTTCCAGGCTACAAGCATAGCATCGCGTTTGGCAGAATTTTCGACTTTGCCTACACCGTCGTGGATGGCGAAACACAGCCAGATGGGTCTGCCGAGGAGATTGTGGTAGCCACCACCAGGCCAGAGACAATTCTGGGCGATGTGGCCGTTGCCGTGCACCCACTCGATCCCCGGTACAGCAAGTATCGTAACAGAGATATGGTCCAACTGAAGCATCCCTTTCGCAACGACACGATTCCCCTCGTCTTCGACCTGGCCGTGGACAGGGACTTCGGCACAGGGGCTGTCAAGATCACGCCGGCCCACGACAAGTTCGATTTCGAGCTGGCAGCCCGTCACAACCTGGAGCCTCGGCAGGTTTTCAGCCAGGACGGATTCATTCTGGATACCTTTAAAGACTTCGAGGGAATGCCGCGTTTCGAGGCTCGTGACCAAATCGTCCATCTTCTTGAGAGTATGGGACTGCTTCGCCAGGTTCGCCCTCATCCCATCCAGCTGCCCATCTGCTCTCGGTCCAAGGATGTCATCGAGTACATGATCTGGCCCCAGTGGTTTCTAAATTGCAAAGAAATGGCCCAGGATGCGCTCTCCGAGCTGAACAGCGGTCGACTGCAGATCATTCCGTCCAATTTTGAGGTGGAGTGGGATCGCTGGCTGCAGGACGGTCGCGACTGGTGCATCTCTCGGCAACTATGGTGGGGCCATCAGGTGCCCGCCTACCAGTTCAGTGATGCCGAGGGAAACACCCACTGGGTGGCTGCTCCCAGCGAGCAGGAGGCCATCCAAAAGGCCATAGCCCTGTTGGGCGGTAGCGAGGAGGAGCTGACACTAGTCCGTGACCCAGATGTGCTGGACACTTGGTTCTCCTCGGCATTGCTGCCCTTCTCCGTGGCCGGCTGGCCCAATGCTTCGTATAAGGAGAAGTATCCACTGGATATAATGCAGACGGGACATGACATACTCTTCTTCTGGGTGGCCCGCATGATGATGATGGGCCTGAAGTTGACTGGCGAGGCTCCCTTCAACAAGGTGCTACTCAATGGCATCGTCTGCGATGCCCATGGCAGAAAAATGTCCAAGAGCCTCGGCAACATCGTGGCCCCCCAGCAGGTGGTCCAAGGCGCCAGCCTCGATGTAAGTCACTCGCTTTTCCTATACAACAACACAACTTAAGCAATATGCTCCTTGCAGAGTATCATGGATGGGCTTGATCAATCCCTGCAGGCGGGCGTCATCAATAAGGCTGAGATGGACGTTTCGTACAAGTGCATGAGCAAAATGTTTCCCAAGGGCATCCAGGAGTGCGGCACAGATGCGCTGCGCTTCACTCTCCTCAGCCACAACATTAAGAACCACTTCATCAACTTCGATGTGACCACCTGCCACACCAACAAGCTGTTCATCAACAAGATCTGGCAGGCCATGCGCTTCACAATGGGAGCTGCGGAGCGTCTGAGCATCTCGCTGCATCAATACGAGACGCTGGAAGGAGTCAATCTAGGCACATGGGATCGCTGGATCATTGGCCGTCTGGGAGAGACATTGGCCATATGCTCGGACAGCTACAAAAACTACAATTTCCACATGGCTACGGCAGCCCTCAAGCAATTCTTCTATCAAAATCTCTGTGATACTTACCTGGTATTCAAATGCCGATCATCAGTCCCCCCGCTTGACCCTTAACGCTCTGATATTTAACCCACAGGAAACCACCAAGACTGAAATTAACCATCGAACACCGAACGGCTACATCCACGTGGGCACCCTGACCGCTTGCCTCAGCTGGGGCTTGCAGGCCATGGCGCCGTTCACACCGTTCGTGGCCTCAGAGCTACTGCAGCACGTGCCACTCAATATTGAGGTGAAACTGTCGGAGTACGCGGACAGAAAGCTCGATGCGGAGATCAACGATATAGTCGGCATTTGCCAGAGTATTCGCCAGCTGAAGAGCAAGCATAAGGTTAGCAAACGACACGAGCCCAATCTCACGTTGTTTGCCACATCTTCCGAGTCGGAGGAGATGCTGGGTCGCCATCTGCAGCAGATACAGCTGCTGGCGCGCTGCGAAAGCGTGGACCTGGATATGCTGGACGAGAACTCGAAGCATTCAAGGAAAATGAACCTTTTCTCTACGGCGGGCCCACTCTGTTCATTCGGCCTAACCATGAGCGCTGACTTCGGTATGACTGTGAAGCAGCGGGAGGAGATGATTCGGGTCAACATAAAAAGGCTCAAAAGGCTGATGACTGAGCTGCAAAAATACCGCATGCGCCTAGACAATGAAGCCTTCCAGCTAATGGCAGACGAGAAAACGAGGGAACATTTCAGAAATAGGGTTGGTCTTCCCCACCAAGATTTGATACCCAATTCAAGTTCTTTGAAATGTCCCATTTTTAATTTAATTGCAGGTCAGGGAACTGGAAGCGGAAATCGAGACCATAATGCAGGAATCAGCTTGATCTCAATGAATATCCAATAAGTATAGATAATGACTGTTGTTATTGTTTGATAGTCCATTAAAATGTAAATTTCACATTTGAATTTTTTTCAACAAGAGGTGATATTCCACCAGCAACTCCTCTTCCCAGAAAATCGAGTCTTCGTGTGATCATATTTATATATTATCAATTTGGACCGGTGGACTATAGAATTGGACATGCATTTTGTGAATAGGACAAGTAGAAGCCGCGATTCGATATGTCCATATCCTCATTTCCATCGGTTACCGTGTAGACGACAAAAGGCTTCGCCGAAGTAGTCGTGGACACCAGGCCCAGGCCGCAGAATCGATCGCTGGCTAATGAACTGCTCTGCGTGGGAGCGGGAATGACAATATAGTCGGTGGTGCAGTCCTGGCTCTGTACCGAGGACGTGGCCAGCAGTGCGGGATCCACAGCTCCCACATCGTTGGTCAGCGTAAACGAGTATGTATCGGAGCTGACCTGGCTGTAGGTGATGGAGCAGATGCCGGCCGCCTTGCGTATACAAATGCCGTATCTGGTGTTCGCCAACTGCCGCGAGCCCTGCACCCCAATCGAGTTGAGGGCGGAGGAGGCAGCGGACACGTAATTGAAGCTAGAGAACGTGCCACTGGTGGGCATATAGTACTGCAGGCAACCGGACGGCGCCAACGTTGCCGACGAACAGCTAAGCATTCGGATCTGGAACTGCCATTGGCGATTGAAGGTGTAGCCCGCGGAAGTGGCCACCGATATGGTAATGGGATTGACGCCATTGAAGTCCACATAGACATGCTGGCCGGAGTTTTCGCCGCAAATGCTGGGCACCTGCGAGGCCCCGCCTGTAATGGTCAACGCATCTGTGCTGCAGAATCCATCACCCGTGGGCGGAGCCAGCGACAGGGCCAGAAAGTCAACTCGCAACTGACAGATTGATGAATCCGGTGGTGTCACCACAATGGAGCAGCGTCCGCCTCCGGCATACGGCGCCGGATAGTTGCTGTTGTAGAAGTAAGTATTGTTGTACGTGGTGCTCGCTCCACATGTCCTTTGATCTATAAAAACATTCAATATTATAGAACCAATGAAGGGAAGGGTATTCTATGGGATTACTTACAAATACAGCATATTGCCTGGGTGGTAATGGTGGAGCAACTGCCGGCGGCCACTCCACTATTGTCCGTGCACTCGCCAGCAATCACGCATGTGCCCAGGAGCAGATTGTTTCCCGTGCAAATGTCGTTGGAGAAGCGTCCGATTGTGTAAAATGGAAACCCTGAAAAGAGATGAGGATGGAACGTGCGCATAGGATTACATTGAAGATAGTGGCAATTTGATTACTCTTTGTTTCCTAATCGCATTTCTTGATGAAGCCCTTTTGTAACGCAAACTGTCTTAAAGATAATCGGATCTTCCTATCGTAGATCGAACAAAAGGTGCATTGGAATCGGAAACGTTACCGGGTGGACCCACTGACGGGTGGAGGGTATAGCTAAGACTAAAGAATCCCGTCTCAGGTGATAATTGAGGCGTGACCCACATACAGCGACCACGTCTACGACAAAACAAACCACCAGCACTTATCAGTGCATGGGGAGATCTCAAAAATCACCCAATGACAGTTTTCCAGAGAGAGATCGATCGATCAGCGCACTTACAGCGAGCATGTCGTGAGTCACTGCGTGCCAGACTGGAGTTCGTCCCTGCCTGCAGGTTCAGACTGTCATTTTGGGTGGCAAGTGACTCTTGGACTGTCGGTTCCAGCTGCTGCACTTGGATGCTTGCGCGTGCCGCACTGTAGATGCCGAGAGTGTAGCTGCTGAATAAGATGGCCACGATGGCCAAGAGGCGCGAAGAGTGTGTGGAGGCTGCAGACATGACCAGGCTGGATAAGCAATTCACTTTCGGTTTTCGCTCGTAGTTCTGGCAGTGAAGCGGATTTATTTATATGATGTATAGGCCGATCGAAGGCACGTCCAAACGCGGGTGTTTTACAACGAAGACTGAACTGAGGCAGGCCAAAGTTTTGGGGGCATACTGTGGCGCAGATCCAGGTGCTAATTGAGAGAACCCGACGAGGCGGCGATTCATGCTAATGCCGAGCATCTTTTCCAGGGCCGGTCGTGGGCCTTGCATTCCCTTTGAAAGTTTGAAAGTTTCAGTCATGGAAATTATTCTGCAGAATGTTCTTTTTACCCAAGTGCTGGGGACCACGCTGCCGTAGTTCCAGTCCGCTCCTGACCGAAGATCGTGTGAAGCTTATTTCGTCGGAATAGGAGAGAATGTGGAGCACTCACGCATAGGAAGTCCATCGACCATCTCTTCGGTATGTTGATATTATTTCTTATTCGATTTTACGCGTATTATTTTAACGACACCAAACAAATAACTGGGCGAGGAAAGTGATAGAAATGCTTGGCTTCCAGCACGCGTGTGGCGCCGCATGATACCATTCCTCCAGCCTGGTAATAGAAAGTGCTCGCTATTTACCTCTCTATAACGTTTGTAATCGCATGTCTAGTACCGTTTTTTCCGCTCGATTTGAATTTATTGCTATAAATAACAGATGATGGCGAGGCGTCAGACAATCGAAAATCGGATGCAGATGATGTAACGGTAATATTCAATGGTGTGGACAATGCTGTGGGCGCGTGTAAGTTTTGCGATTGCTGCTGCATTTACTAGAACGCGGTACGCACGACTTCAATTAGCAGATTCTCACTAATCAAAGACTATCTGGCAGCTAATTAATGTTTAATTTAATCTGAAAAGGAAGGTAAAAGTGGATTGACACTCGACTGTTTCCAAGGCGAAGAACTTTCCGTAGAAAGTTGGCGACCATTGAACATTTTCACACTCTGTTAAGTTTACAGCAAATGTTGCCTTGCCTGGCTTTTAATAAAACAATAACTAGCAGCTAAACGCACAATAGAAAAAGCAAATGCCCGCCGGACTATTCAATTTCAACAATGGCCCCAGCCTTGGACAGAGCCTCCTTGAGCTTCTCGGCCTCTTCCTTTGGTATGTCCTGCTTCACAACGGTGGGAGCGCTTTCCACAAACTTCTTGGCCTGCACCAGGTTCATGCCCTCTAGCAGATTTTTCACCTCCTTAATGAGCGCCACCTTCTGCTTGTCATCAAACTTGACCAGCTTCACGGTGAAGGATGTCTGGACCTTCTTGGGCGCCGCTTCTTCCTCGTCTTCGGCGGCTGCACGTGCCGGTCCCGCCGCGAACTGTGGGGCAAAGGCAGTCTCTGGCAGGTTCAGTTTCTGTTTCAACAGGGTGCTCAGCTCGGAGACCTCCAGCAGATTGAGAGCAGCAATGTTGTTGACAATGCTGTCTAACTTGGGATTGGGTGGCTTAGCAGCCCCCTCTGGAGCCGGCGGCACCAGTTTTTCAGCTCCCGAAACAGCCGCTGCCGGGGCCGCTGAGCTGTACATACGCTGGAGTCGAATGTGGCGTGTGACTTGGCGCAGGGCGAGACGTGTGATCTGCATTTTGATTATATCTGTGCCGGAATAGAGAATGTTTAAGTAACCAACTCAAAAAATTACAATTAGTTTCCATTTACTTGTGTTTTTTGACAAAAATTTGTGGTGGCCGGAGCAGGTTATGTGAGCACGATTTATCGATATACCGTAAAGTTATGAACGAACTAAGCCCACTTAAGCCCCCATTTTTAAAGAGGTGAACAGCTTGAGTTCAACAGCGGAATATATTTCTTTTTTCTCTCCTTGTAGGTCCATACTTCCTTTTGCTTTACAAAAAAAATGAATACAATGTCTTTTACCCGAACTGCGCCTTAATTCTTCAAAATAGATTCCAAATTTTCGTGGAGGGTATTAAAACACCCACTGGTCGACAATGGGTTAATCGTTCTGTGTCCATATTCCTCGACTTTGATATTCAGCTTAATATTATTAGTTAGCTAGGATTCTCAGACCTCAACACATAATTTTATCCAATTGATGAATCAATTTTCTGCAACATTAACTAATTTTAAGTACTCTCTTTATTATGTTCCAGCTGCATAAAACGTAAGTGAGGGATGAAAAAATAATTCTTGCGATGAAAGTCCTTCCGAAAAAGAGTTTCTCTCTTTTCCCCCACGAAAAAGAGAGCAAATTCCACCTAAAGAGATCCAATCCCAATAAAATATACCGTCTAATTTTCAAAATATTTGATTTACTGGATTGCTTATAAAATAAGGTTTAAACAAATAAGGTCAAAGGTTATTGGAGCAGACAGGTGCGTGAACAGTCGATAGGGTATCTTAACATTACCAGTGCTCGAAAGCAGAGACATCTGCTTAGTGTTGTAAGACTTAGCGCGAAATAGAAAATCTTAATTTCATTCTTCTATATGCAGTTAGCAGTTTACAGAGCATACACTTTTATATAGTCAATTGATAGATGGGCGTCATCTAACCATTGGTCGAGCATCGGTTTCTGGTGTTTCCAGAAATCCGTCATGGCCCGAGGCTCCCGTTCATGCCACGGCTTCAGTGTGTCGTAGAAGTACTCGTTAAATCCTCCCACTGCTAGGCCAAGGGTTATATAAAACTCCTGATCGAAGGGCGCCAGGCCAGTGCCCTCCTCCAGTTTTTGGGAATTGGGCAACCGCATCCCATTCACAGTCGTCTCGCTAAACGCCCCGCTTTCGCTGCCCTGGCGACAAATCTCCTTTCCATCGACCAGCCACTTGAGCTCCCTCGGCGTCCACTCCAGGGTGTAGTTGTGGAAGCTATCGCTCCAGTCATCGGAGCTATCATTGCCGCCCACTTTATGGCAGACTTTGGCCGATCGGAGTGGCTCTTCTGCATTGAGCAGGGCCCCCGTGTACAGATCAATTTTGCCATTGGCTGGCCGAGTGTAAGCAATGCGAATCTGTCCCGACTGATAGTCGTCTCCGTACTCCTGATTCTTGGGCTGAAGCCAGAGCTGGGGAGTAAGCCACTCCGCCCGCGGCATCTTAGCACGCACATCCACTCGTCCGTACTTGAAGGAGAAACTCTGTCTGGTAGAGAACTGAGCCGTCACCATAGGTGGCAGTCGATCGTTCCTCTGCCTGCCATCACGAACACAGTCACTAGGAGTATTGGCGGCACCCGTGCAGCCACTACCCAGATCCAGCTTGGCATCCAAATTCTTGTGGAACTGGCGCTTCGTCGAGGTTGTCGACAGTACCACATGGCCGTTGTGGAGGCGCAGCGTGTTGGGGGTATCATCAACGTAGACATTAAACTCGTAGTCGGGCGATCCGGAGAAGCGGCGCTCCGCTAGCCACTTGCTGGTGTCCAATTTTGCCGCACTGAACTCGTCCACGAACACCAACTGTCCCACGCAGCGAGAGGGTCCGCCGTTCAGCTGAGTCTTCGGTTGGTCGCAACCGGTTCGGATGTCAATATCCGGGTCCGATGGCCAACTCCAGGGCGTGGTTGAGTCCGGTGCTACCGGAGATCTGGGTGTAGTCACTGCAACAGTGCCATTCCCGCTGTAAGCATCGACAACAAAAGTGCCATCGTCTTCGCGATAACCCAGGCCATTGTAGATAACGTATGTCCAGTAGTACAGGGTGTCGCCTGGCTTGAGCACCGCCAATCGGTCTCTGAAGGTCCAGCGGCCGTTCTTCATCTTGACAATATCACGGGCCCAGGTGCCCGCCTCCAAGCCTTCCATCTCCTCGTTCAGTTTTCCGTGGAAGGCGAACAGTGTGATCCCCTCCTCGTGGGGTATGGAAACCTCAAATCCCTTGGGATAGAATACCTCGATCTTGGCCTTTGGTACTTCATAGCTTTGCACTTGCACACAAAGGAGGAGCGCGAGGAGACAGAAGCTCCAGACAATAAAGCGAGATGCATCCGACATTCTGGAACTCAAATTCTAAACTGAGATGAGCAGTCAGCAGACAAGTCTGACTTATCAAGAAACCGGTCTTTATATTAAGCCCTAAGCACTACTTATAAATGTGTGTGGGAAGAGATTAAGTGCTCCCAGAGAGGCGAATACAACGAAAGAAAGAGAGAGAGCGAGTGAAATCGCAATAGAGTGTTCTTGGGGAATAACCCAAGCATAATCATCATCAAATGCTCACGAGATTGGGCTCGCCATTGTTTTCACAAATGTTTTCATACAATGACAGCACAGTGGTCCAAGCAATCGCTAAAGAAATTTGAAATGACGCGCGCTGCCCTTCAGACTTACAATCGTAGTCGGCTTAGACAGCTGTGCCACTTATCGAACTAGTTCGAAATCATGGTAGAGTATGGTAGAGTACATTTGTAACATCAATAGGCATGACGAAATCGTGCTTTTTATATGTTTAAATGATATAGAATCTTCAGCAAAATATGAATGTAAAGAAAAATCACACAATCGCTGAAATTGTAACCATCAATTTATAGTGAAACTGCTCCACGCAGTACATAGATCCTAGGAAAGGGCATACAAGTTTCGATAGAAAAAAGCACACCTGTTCGTTTTTGTTTTGTGGAACAGCAACGTCGGATGTGCTCAGAATTTGTCGTCTGTTCTCGTTCTCGCACAATTAAAAATGTACATATTTTAGTAAAATCTATAACAAAACCACACTTCGGGAACACAGACTTTGGGTGCGCGTATATATTGTGGGTGCTCTCTTTCGAATAAAAAGAAAAAACCAATAAGAATTCGTGAAAAGATAATAGCAAATAGCAATAGGTTTTCGGTTTGTTTCGCAGCGCGAGTGTGTGTGCGGATGTCAAAAAAAGCTGCTGGTGGCTGATATAAACAAAAGTACCATTAAACCATTGCGAGACGAAGCTGCTTTGTTGATATTGTAAGTAGTTCAGTTTTATATAATTCAATTCGCTTGCTTGTGTTCTTTGCCTGCATTTATTTTGCTGTTGCAGCAACGACAAACAGCTGTGGGGTTGCCGGATAACCAAGTAATTTATAATTAAGACATCTAAGTAAATTTGCAATTGTAAAACATTATTTTGGTGGCTTTTTATTGTTGCAACATTAGCTTATTATTTATTTTCTTCGCGGACGGACCAATTGCGGGCATTTAAAATATCGATGTATCGATTGCTGTAATGCAGCAGTTCGCTTACATGGCAACACTGCGCCGTCGCCACTGCAGCGTCCAGAGCAGCTGTCAGCTTGTTGTTGTTGGAAAAGCTCGAAACAACAACAAGCAAAACAACTGAAAATGATTGATTTTTCTCGTGCGTGTCGGTCGGAAAAGTAGGCGACGACGACGACGACGGCAACGAAAACACAAACCTAACTGGCAGGCAGCAGTGAAAAATTCAATATCACAGTCGTCTCGCTGGCGAGCGGACGGAGCAGCAGCTCGGAAAAATTAAAATTGGAAGTTTTTCTTGAAATTCTAGTGTAAATAGTTAAAAGTTTTTACAAATTTAACAGTGCTTTTCCAAATTTTTTTGAGAAACGTGTGTGTGTCCGTGTGTGTAAATTCGTTTTCAGTGTTTCGAAAAGTAAGTGCTAAAAGGTGGGATATTATCCTGCGCATTAAAGGCAACGAATTTTTAGTTCATAACGAAAATAGCCATCGCATAATAGTAAAGGGGCTTTCCCCAAGCAAAGGAATTTTCGCTGCTGTTGCAAAAAAAAGGGAGCAGGATAGCAGAGAAGAAAAACACACATAGCAATTCCATCTACGTCACAGATTCGCGAGTGTTTGGTGGTGTGTGTGAGAGCACCCCCGGAAATGTAACACACATACCAACGCGAAAAGAAAACTTGCACCTGAAAGTTTCGTCCATCTTCGTACGCCTTCGTATCTCGTCTGCCCCTCGTGCTGTGCATCGTGTGTCGGTTGCACCAACGTAGGAAAAAAAACAATACGCAAAAAGAAAACAAAAGGTTAGTTTATTAGTGCGGAATTTTCGGTGCGGTGCGTAGCTCTTGCACCTGTCAAAATCATATTTTAAATTCGGACTTATTTGGCCTACTTTTTTCTCGGACTCGCGCAGCTCCCAACCAGGGTTGCTTTCATCTCTCAGAGATATCGTAGTGTGTGTTCGTGTGTGTGTGCATGTGTACGTGTACGTGTACGTACGTACGTAACCAATTGAAATTGGGGCAACTGGCAAAACGGCAACGAATCAGTTGAGCAAAGCAAAGACAGCAATAAACCCCTAAAAAAATCTACCTACACCCCAACCACAATCCGAATTCTCTCCCCTTCCCAAGGGTGGAAGCGTGGAAATCTGGATAAAAGCTGCAACTTGGCCCAGTTACTTAAGTCTAATTGCAGACGTGATAATAGAACTGCACACACACAAAAAAACAGTGGAGGCAGCAAACAAACTTCATTTGCCAAGAGTTTTTCAACCAAATTTGTTTGCACTCACACAGACACAGACGGCAGACGGACAGAACTACTGCATCGCGTAATAAAAGCGCAGCTAGAGATGGGCTTGTTTGGTTCTTCGGGTGTCTGATTCAAAGTCTGATTTGTGGAAGAATTTTTTTTTATTTTCAGCTAAAAGTGTTTATTAAAAGTGACATTTAAGAAAACGCAGTGTGACCTTGCTTCACATTATTCTTACCATGTCAAAATGTTAGTTAGCTAGTAGGCTTGTGGAAGTACGTACTAAGAATTAGCAATTTCGTTTTTCAGTGAATAATGACTGCTTATTTTTAGATTAGTCTTCAGAACGATGCGATAGATTAATCGCGACTTTGACAGGCCTAACATTTCACATCTCTAGCACATTGCATCAAGTTTTAATACAATAGGGATACATTTGATGGGATTGTTTGTAGGTTGTGTCCAATTAAATCGTGACATTGACAGCCGCCATGCCTCCCATCTCTAGCTTACCGTGCGCTCTCTTGAAGCTGAGCCAAGCTGTCTGTGCTTTTGGCGGCACAACACACTTGTTTACTTTTCAAGTGTGTGTGTGTGTGTATGTGTCAATACATGTGTGTATTCGCGTCTGTTTGTGTGTGTGTGTGTGTTATGGGGGCGTTACTGTCATTGTTGTTATTGCTGTGCGACATCGTCGTCGTTTCGTCTTCGGTTTTTTTGGGGGTCGCGTCGCTCTCTTCTCGTTTGTAGGGCAAAATTATGTATTGAACATGCCTGTTTTTCTTCTTTTGGGGTATTTTGTTTTTCTCAGTGGGTGGTTGGGCGGTCGGGCTGTTAGAAGGGGGGTGCGGCGGCAGGGCGGAGAGGCACCTTCGGTCAGTTTTTCATGCCTGAGTGAGCCATTTCATTGGCACAACAATTTTGTTGTCTCTCTGCATTTAACTAATTAAACCCCCCACCCCACCCCACTGTCCATTCCATCCCCACCCCACCCCTTTCCGAACAATGGACGTTTTCCGGTCGCACAAACCAAAATGAAGTGCGTGTATACGAACGGAAGGGGACGGGACGGGCCGGGGCCGGACCGAACCAAACCGGACCGGAGCGGAGCTCGGGAAATTGGATATTGTATGCAAAATGGGCAAAGCATGGAGCATACATACGAGCGTTTGACCGACATCTGGAGCCCCACTAAAAACGCTTGCCCTCGGGGGTGGCTTTTCTAATTGGAAAAGCGATCAATTGTAATCCCCCGCCGCCATCGTTAGTCCGGTGTTTCTGGTTCACTTGAATTGCGCTACAATTTTAGACAGCTTGCCCAGCCCCATTATCTGGCCATATCTCCATATACATGTACATATTTATTAGTCATTCGGCAGAAAATAAGAGAAAAGTTTAGACAGAAAGTAACACTTTGCTTATCAATAATTGATTGATGGTTGTTGTGGTTGCCGTTACCGTTGCCCCTGCCCCTGCTCCTGCCCCTTGTCCCATACGCATTGCACATTTTATGGCTCATTTTATCGTCGCATTCTCCTAGTTCCCGATATAAAGTATAAAGTGGAACGTGAACAGATAGTAAATTTGCTGTATGGCCGTAGAGGCCAGGAACACCCAACGTCCACGTCCGTCACATGAAACAAATTGCCAGTTCCCCGATGATGAATCAGATAAAGTAGAACTTGGGGGCCACCCATAGATCAGAAATATGAAAAATGATATGGTACGAATATCTTGACCATTATTATTATTAGCATATTCCACATATCGTGTGTAATAAATGATATTTTCAATGTGTGCTTGGCAACCCTTGAGGAAAAAGCACAGCAAAGAGGAGGCGCGACCAGAAAGAAACATCGACGGCCAAACGGTCAGCGGTAAAATACTTATATTAAGGGTTTTAAAAATAGGAAAATAAAAATTAATGTCAAATAGCTTTTGCTTTTGCTTTTGTTGTGGCCTGGCTAGCGGAGCGGAGTGCTGCCGGGGGGCGGCTGCTGCTTCCCCGCATGCCTTTATTTATTTTTAAACGCAATTACGTTCGGGCAGAGGCTTGAGGGATGCGGTTGACGTGTTGACATTTCGAAGAACCGATTGTACAGAGCAGAAATATGATTAACTTATCACTTATCTAACGTTCCCTCACGTTCTTCTCTCTTCTCTCTTCTCTCTCCTCTCTCCTCTCTCCTCTCTCTTCTCTGTTTCTGTTTCTATTTCTCTTTTCATTTGCCGACACTGGCTGGCTGGCGACTGATTGATGTTTTTTGGATGGATATACACTTACCAATTCCAATCCGAATTGGAATTCCAACGTGCGCTGCTCTGGCCCACTTTCTATGTAGGCTAAGGCAACAGCTGAAGTGACGCGCAGCCCCCGGGGCAGCTCAAGTGCAGCCGTATAACCACCCACATTGGTGCGGGCACCATGGACTCGCTCAAGTTACCAAAGGGTAAGGGAAGCCAGAAAGTGTGACGGATGACAAACAGCTAACAGCAGACCTGGTTTCTCCTCCCTGCCCCTTCTCCACACCCCCCCACAGCCAGCAGT